AATCTTCATATCGAGGAAACACTATTAATTACAAATCTCAAAAACATTAAGCAAATATAAATGTCTCACAGTTAATTATCTGTTTTTGAGTGTTTGTTTTGAGTGTATGACAAATGACGACAGAAGGATGCCCTGAACAATTAGCCTAGTATGCATCCTAAGAACTGACGGGATTTAGAAGAAAAATCGCTAAAAATGTAAGCCATCCTTCAATAGCTGTAGTTATACAAAAGAATGATGTCTCTCCTCATAAATATTAGGCTAAATTAAGATTACCTTCAAAAGAAAGATCTGAAGCGTACAACCGTTCATACAAAAATGAGAATGTGAGCGACTGGCCTCTGTAATTGGGCGAAATCAATAGAATATATATATGTGTTGGAGATACCCTTAAGTAAACTGCCATCTATGTCGGCTCGCACCACTGCACGAATTCCTGCCGCTATTTGAATAAGATCAAGGGGGGAATAATGGGTTGCGATGATGACGAAAACGAGGATGTGCAGATGGTCGCCGGAGCTGCGTCGAATGATGATTGTAGGGTCCAGCTCGAGAGTCGACATTCCCACTAAGACCACTAGTGGAAGGCCGAATTCGTAAATTACGAGTTATATTTGGTCGTTGTGATTGCTCTGGCGTAAAATAAAAGGCTGAAGAATTACTATACATCCCATCAACGCCATAGATACTATTTTCGACGATAGGCGAAGCAGTGACGTTTGCAATGGATGAATATGAACTAGAGTTTGCTAATCCAGATTCTACATAGACGAAGGAGCAAAGTGAAAATACGAGATACGAAAAGAATAGTATTACTAAGCTGATAAGGCAAAATTAATAGTTTAAAATGAAATTATATACATTCTTTGCAGGACTGCATCTACAAATTGACAAATAAAAAATAGAAATATGACGATTATGTAAAATAAGAAAAAACTTAGAAAATTTTAAATAACTTTCTCTAAGTCAACACGAAGGTATAAATAACAACATAAGAAGATACGAATAATAAAATGGTGTTGCCTATACTATGATCGCGGTCTCCTTAAGTTGAATGAAAATGGATTAAGCTCTCTTTCGCGACTTGATCGTATTTTCAGAGACCTATATGAACCCACTTTTTCCGGAGTCGTCTTCTACAACATTCATCGTGATTTCCAGACATTTTACTAGCATCGTCAGCGAGCCATATCATTCTAAGCACCAAAATATAACTGGTACAGCTGCCGAACAACTTCTTGCTAAACAGTTGTGGTTAAGGGATAGAGATCACTTATCTAATATATATATATATATTAGTAGACGGTACCCATCGTCATCACAACAATCTTCAGCATAATATATAAGGGAGCGATTTTCGATTAAGAGCCAAAATAGCCTATCAATCATATTAAGTAAGCGATATTAAATCTATATAATGCAGAGTAATGACTTAAAAGAGCGTAATAATTATCGATGCATGCTCATGCGCATAATTTATTTGTCAAAGAAATTTAGCCAAAAAGATTCTCGGAAAGCGTCTGCTACTTTAGAATGCTTGATTCGACTATTAATATTCCTGTGTTTTTCATGATCTCCCTCGAATTCAAAAAGTTTAATGTCAGAAAAAGAGTCTAAAGAAAATAAACTAACCCTTTGAAAGCGGCGAGTTGTCCATTCTAAATTTATTAACATGAGAAATAAGTTCCCGAACCTCAGGAGCGAAGAATGAATAATGCAAAGATGCCGGATCATGAAGAAGATTCAGCAAAGCTTGTTCAGTGTGTAAGAGAAAAAAGTATAATATAGAAGGTTGCCAGGGTGAGTCATATAAGCTTAATTACACCAGATAGTGCTAGTGTGGATGATTTGAGATCATTAGTAAATCTCAGAATATGCTAAATAAATAAAAAGCTTTGAAAAAAACTAACCGAACAGCGCTTGGGGATTTGCAAGACCACAGTGAATGACAGGATCAGCAAAAAGCGCTTGCAATATGGGGCTATCTGGAGGCAATCCATGCAGGTGATTTGCATCTACATCAGTAGCTTCCTCAGAGAGATGAAAGTTATCAGAGGAAAGAAGCAAATCAAGCTGTGAAAAATGAAGGAAAATGCATATATGATATATTAAGAGATATCACAATAAGTTGGTCCGGCAGAGACCTCCCACTGACTCAGTGTATGGAGCAAGTAAGCTGTCACGAAAAATTGGATTTCATGGACCCGTTAATCCAGAAAGAAAATTAAACATCGTGAGAACGAACTTTTAGTAAAGTTTCAAAAGTATTCAGAAAGCAAGCACCATGACATCAGTGGAATTTTACTTCGTTTCCTTTATTTAACAAATATGCATACAAAATATATACAGACAAATAAACAGTAAGTGGTGTAGAATAATGCAATGAATAATAGTATAGCATGAACTTTAAGTTAGTCATGTGTACTTTTAGGTATTCAGCCATATTTCGCATTCGGGACATATCGAAAAGAAGACTAAGAATTGCGTGGTCCCATCTGACTATTGGCTGGCATGACTATATTATATCCTGCCAGTATTATAGTCGTCAGTATAAGAGAGGTGTGAAAAACAATTGGAGATAGCATTTAAGAGTGGCTGTTGAAATTCTTTAATTCGGTGCTTTGGCGTTGTCAATTATAATACAAATAAAATGCAGGCAAAACAATTGGAATATACCCATGCAATGAGTAGCTCTATGAAATATCAACTCTGTCGGTACTCGAAGTACAGAGGCACAAATTTCAAAAATAGTGCGGCTTATTTATACAGGAAGCTCGTAGCAATAAGTTCCCTACATACTTCTCTCATATATATGTATATATATATCTATATATGTATGTGTGTATGTTCAACAAAGATAGATTTCATATTATATTATATTTAAAAAGCTTTATCATGGCTTCGTATATACTGGCTCATGAACTGTACGTAGAATACTTATAAATTCACCTGTAATTCTTATGCACATATGAATAGTTAGGCAGTTAAACTTCTAAATTACTCAAAAAAACGTCATTAGACAAACGACGGAGCTAATACCTATTATACCAAGCATTAAAATTTTGACTTAAAAATGAATTGTTTGATTTAATTCTCTACAAAAAAAAGAAAATACCATCATAATTAGAGACATTAATACTACGATAAACGACTTTCTAGATCCAAATCCTTCAAAAATTTAAAGCTTATCAAGAAGCTGTGCATAGCTCATAAGTAACATCAGGAAACTAAGGTAGAATAGCAGGATTTGTATATAAGAAGAAAATACGGATATCGTAGAATCTCCTGAGATAAAATTGATGTGAAGACTTTCATTTCCTATAGAAGTATATGATAAATAGATCCGTAGGTAAATCTCATCAGACGTTGCCTAATTCGCGTTATACTGCAGCCGTTTGACAATAATACGACGTTCAGGTTGGTGCAATCCACGAGAAATCCTCGAACATTTGGAGGACTGGATGATTTGGAATGAAAGCACTATTGGCGGAGAATAATTATCCTTTTGGTTTAA